TCAGTGTGTAGATGGTTTTTAAAGCCCCGAGACTGGAAGAGATCATTTAGAGAGGAGATGCCCAGGACTGAGGTACTCCAGGAACTCAGCATAGGAGATTGAGGAATGGCCAGGGAGGTGAGAGAACATGAGAAAAATGTCCCAGAACTGAGAAAATGTTTCAAGAAGTAGTTATTAATGTGTCAAATACTGCAGGTAAGTCAAGCAGCATGAAGCCAGAGACCTGACCTTTCCATCTGACAGCATGGCAATCACTGATGTCCTTAGCAAGAGCCACTGTGGTGTGGATGAAAGTCTGATTTGTGTTGGTTCAAAAGACCAAGGGAGGAGAGGAATTTGGGGCAGTAAGTACACAGAGTTCTTCCTGGGAAGTTTTCCTGTGAAGAGAAGCAGATAAAGAAGATGGTAGTTGGAGGAGGTGATGGGGCCAAAGAGGATGTTTGTAAAACAGGAGCTATTGCAGCATGAATGTAGTGAAATCCTCCAATAGAATGGGAAACATTGGTGGTACAGAAAAGAGAGGGAATGATTTCTGGGGTAATAGCTTTCATTTGGTGAAGTTGGATGGGCTCTACCTAGAGCAAATAAGAAATGCCCACTATCCCTTGAGAAGCTGATGTAGTAGTTGGTAGTAAGTTTCACTGGACAAGATCAGGAAACTGAGAAGTCACGATATTGTGGGATTGTGGATACTGAAATCATCAAGAATTAAGAAAGGGTGTAGTGGAGAGAACAACAGTGAACCAAGGGCTGAACTACTTGAGCAATGAGGGGGAGTGACAGAGGGTAACACAGAGACTTTATAGGCTGATGGCAAGACCTTCAAAGCAGTGTTTAGGAGGAGGGAGGGATAATAGTCTGGAAATGGCAATGAGGAACAAACAGGCATCCCTCTAATAATGTTTTATTATTCACATTTTGACAGAGATAACGTAATATATTACAGGGCATGGCAGTGACTGTATAGGAAAACCTTGGCTTAGAACCTACCAAAGCATTTCTAACTACTGCTTGAAACGACTATAGGAAGTACTTCCTGAATCATTTGTGTTGCAGGAAAAAAATACTTGAAAGTCACCAAAAGTTTTCGACTGGAAAATATGCCAGCAAGATTTTCTTCTTTTAGCCTCACTCAGGTGAGACTATATCCAGTTTTAGCCAAATTTTTGACAATTTAAAGCACTTTTGAAAACTGGAGATTTAAAAAATATAAACAATTGTAGGCATAGCAAAATGAGTTTTCTCTTCTAATATTTTAGATTTGGCATCTTTCTAAAGTTGTGTTAACACTATAAGGCAGTTAAAACATACAAAAATAGTTTTACAACATCCAATTTTAAATTCATCCAAGCTGTCATCTTTTTTCTTTTTTTTTTTCCCTGCTGAAATTCTGACTCAGGGTAATGTCTGAGATTTCTTAAATGAACCCTAAGGATTATTATTCCTTAACACCAATCCCAGGGGAAGAGGTAAGGGAAAGGCCCATCTGGGGCATGGGTATGTGTTATGTACAAATAATGATTCATTACTGGAAATGAAGACTCACCTGTCCACCAGCTTTTGCTCAGCCTCAGTAGTGCAGTGCAACTTGGTGCTGATAAAAATCAACCATCAAAATCCAACCCTATCATGCAAAGAGTGAGTTAGTTTGAAGATATCTACACAAACCAAAAATCTAGAAACTTCAGAATGTTTGTATTTTGAACTGTATTTTCTAGTTTTTGTCCAAATATTTGTCATCATGGACACAGAGTCCAAGATTTTGATCTGAATTTAAAATAGCTCAAATCTTATCCAGGGACTTTTGTTTAAAAAGGCTCTGATGGGGATTTTTATTGTGTTGTATTCTGACACTTCCTGAAATAGGTGGTCTAGAAGAATAACGTTTAAAGCACAGGGTTATGTTCTCACACTGTTTAATGCTGTGCAAATCGTTGAATATTCTAGTTATCTATGGAAAAATTCCCAGAAAAATGATACAGTATAGAAATCAAAACAACATTAGAAAATGTTTGGTAGAAATATACAAATGATTTCAACTTTGAGCTTGCAAATTCTCAAGCGGTTTTCTTCTTTGCTGGGGCTCCTGAAAAAAGAACACTTTATACCCATTTTATTTGAGACCCAGTGACAGCTCACTTCAGGGTTCCTGATATTGCTATACTGACCAAGGCCAAAATGTAGTGCCATTTATGAGACATATGGGCAGGTAAATTAAATCAAATTTAGACTTTTGAATTTTAGATTTATGGTGCAACTATATAGTCTCAGGGAAGGTCAACTTTTGGTTGGCTAGTTGGTCATGTTATATGTTTTGTTTGATTTGGTTAGATTTAAATGTTTGAGGAATAAACTAAAAGGTAACTAATAATTTACAGAAACTGTTAAGATGGTCAGAACATAGTATAAGAGGAGATTTTGGAATATAAGGAGCATGGGAGGGTCATTCAGAATTGTCATTAGCACGTTGTGGATTTTCTCATGTTTTCCTGTAGTAGGTTAAAATTAAATTTTGATCAATAATTGTATCTTCTTTCTTAAAAATAATGTAGCACATCTTACAATCTTAAAGCAATCAGCACAAATGCAAGTGATGCCTGTTCAAGCAGACTTTCAAAGACAGCACACACTATTGACACAAAGAGCTCTTTCACATTTCAAAAATACAGTGACGAGAACTGGTACACATAATACTAGCATTTCTTTTTAACTTCAAGGAACGTGAGACATTAGCTGCTTTCTTTTCTGCCAGTGGACAAAACCAAAGTGGCCCTGGCCTGAATTTCACATCTTTCTAATCTATTGCACAGGAGGGACCAGAGACACCAATTGCTAATGAGTCACAAGCGCAGACAAAAAATTGTTAGTAGGTTTCGACAACCAGGAATTAAGACGTTTTAAAAAAACGTGTACTTGATACAAGGTATGTTAGGAGTGTACCTTGGAAAAACAATGTCAAAGTGTTAGAAAAATGGAGTCCCTGTTCAAGTGGCCTTGAGAGATTTTATCCGTATCTGATCTACCCTGTTGAATAAATAATAGTTCTAGGTCTTCTTGAAGCATTGTTTAGAAGTCTCCAAGAAAAATAATGATATCTATTCTAAATAGAGCCATTAGATTTTAGGTGGAAGTTAGTGCACGCTGTCTTCATTGGCACTGTGGGCTGACAATGGTCTGACTGGAACTGGCAGGGGGAAGACTCTCGTTATTCAAAGGGACCTCATTGGTCATCCGTTCCTACCACCCACTGGATGCAGGAATCTGTGCTACAACATCCGGGCTGGCACCCAGGGATGATGGTCACCTGCCAGACCCCAGACCAAATCTACAGTGTGAACAGGCTCAGTGGATTTGACTGGAGGATGACCAATTTAGAGCAGTAAGAACTGACAGATCTAGTGAAACTTACTCGGGGAGAGGGCTCAGTTTCTCCAGTTTCTCTTTGTAGGAAAATAATAAAATGAGCCAATTTCCAGAGACAAAATCACCTATAAAAAGATAAAAACTAAAGATATTTTTTATGGAGATGCTATAAAATGGATGAAAAGCAACTCTCCCCCCACCCAAAAAATAAGGAATTAAAGTAAACCAAAAAGTTTGGAATTGTATGAACCACAAGGACACCATTCTGATATATTTTGTATGACTTAGGCCTCCTTGTGTCAGGGGTAGGTCTGTCCTGCTGGAGAAAATGTATTTTTGAAGATAAAAGCTTCAAGGAATTTTTTAAATATATTTTACAAAGCATGGATTTATGGGAGGCCGTTTTAAATTTGGTTTTGCCTTGTATTCAGTGTAAAATATTTGTACAAAAATATAAAAGGCATAGCTTGATGTTTAACGTCTGTGTTTTATTGTTGTTGGCACCAGAAAAGCTCATGTTCTATGTCATGTCACTGTACATACTGTAAACAAGACTGCATTAATATTGTTTTCTTATGATTTTTTTGTTTCAATGAATCTAGATTTTAAAAAATACATTCACAAACTACCTTATGTTTAAACACAATGATTCCCTTTTATTTCTTAACTGTACCCAAAATCCCACAATAAAAAAATCATTTAAAGCTGTGTGTTTCGGACTTATCACTTAGAAATAAAAACAAAACAAAACATAAAAACAAAGATCAGTTTGCAACATAATTTAAAGAAGCTTCTGGTTTAAAATACCACAGCAGCAATATAAAGAGCTGGGGGCAATCACATTCAGGGACCAAACCTAAATCAATATATTTTGTCCATGTCAGCATCCAATTACAGTAGTTGCTAAATTCAGTCCAAAAAGTTATTGCTGAATTTGTTGCATGGAATTTGTGAAGAAAGTGTTGTTCTGGAGCAGAACCATAGCAGTAAAAATGAGAACGGGAGGATTTCATTGCTTTTGAGAGCTAAAGGGACCATAACGAGGACATCTTGATGATTGCCTGGAGATAATCCTCAGTTCCATTCCTGGGTGTTATCTGCTTAAAATAAGTGCAAATGACAACTACCTTTCCAGGAGGGGCATAATGAGCTACCCCAGAAACCAGAATCTTTCCCCTTCTCTTTCCCCCCTCGCCCAAACCACTAGATTGAAATGGTTCCATTTTCGTAATGGGTATTTCGTTCTCATTAATAGTACATTAGCTGCTCATGTATTTAGGCAAAATCAGTAGGATCATAGGTTTTTTTTTTTTTGATCTAATTATAGTAATCACTTTCTCTAGAAATAAGCCACATCAGTTTTTGTCATTAAATTTTGCTCCCAAATTTTTTTAAAAGGATAATTTGGTCAACTACTGTTTTGTTTTAAAAATATTGAATACACCTGAGATTGCCAGTTGAGCTCTCTATATGTCTCCTGGAGATAACACTGCTGTGATGGACAGTGAAACAAAAACAAACAAAACGAGGTAGGTTAAAACAGGAAGCGCAACACAGATACCATTTTGCAACACCTCGATACCACAGGCGGCCATGCTTGTAGCTTTGGAAAAAAATTCCAGACAGTCACGTAAAAGTTCAAATCATTTGAGTAAGAGTTTATAAGGACACAAGTCAACCTGAACTAAATACATACATATCTCTACACAAATGTTTTTACCGTATGTTGGGTAATTTGGAGGAAGGTAAAGTGATTGGGGTCTCAGAATTTTGGCCAAAGCCTTGCTTTCAAGTTCTTTAAAATCTGAGCCAGTGATGCCTGCTGTATCTGAGGCAGGCTTAGGAGTCTAGTCCCTTCTCTCACCCACCCAGGGAGAACACAGGCAGCTCAGAAACATTTATTATTAATTTTTTTTCAGTCACAGTTTTCATCTTGAGAAAGTGGCACCCTCCGGAGAGAGCTGGGAATGTCTAGAGCCTGGATGTCATTCATGCCCCAATTCCCAGAAAGAACTCAACCAAAGTCTCAGTCCTAATGAAGCCCAAACCCAGCGGAGGCTTTGCACATTTGAAAGTGGAGTACATATGCTTGTTTCCCAGAAGGTCTTTCTGTCTGACCCCATCTGTCTTCCCATCTTTTGCCCCGATCTGCTGCACAATAGCTGAGGGAAAGTTGTGTTACAGAGTCCCTCAGTCGCTAGGCCAGCTCAACGCAATGGCATTACTATCCCATTCAACACACTCCATTCCGTAAAGGGCCATATAAAAATACGGCCTGTCAGACTCACAAAAGTGGTAGTTGATTTTATTAGACTAAGGCTAGTAGTTTAGCCATTTAAAAGTATTTCCCAAAAGAGGGGAAAACTAGTATTTTTCTTCTCTTAAAAATTCATTAGCCAGTTGCCATCAAAAAGCAACCTTTTGGGTTGGTGAAGGCAAGAGAGTTCTTAAATTATCTCACTATGCAGTTACAACCTTCAGCGTAAGGAGATAAGGTACATTTATTGTGCTGTCTCTCACCACTGGAAATTGGAAATTTTACAACATACCGTATACTTAAAGCTAGCAGGCAGACGGAATTGAAAACAGACTCATTTTCTCAGTATGCATTCTCTCCCCATTCTTACAGAGTAAGAGGGTAAAGAAAAAAGGTAAAAAAGAAAAAAACTCAAAACCCCACTATAACACAGCTTAATCATAAGAGCACACAATATTTGTTTTTATCCCTAACTCCAAAGGGCACATGGTCCATCTCTGTCCACAGACAAGGCAGCATTCTTGGGAATCTCCTGGGAATTCCTGCCACCTTTTTCTCTCCTTCTCAACCAGGCTGCAACATTGAAAGATGGACTGTATTGGAAGGGGTAGAGGGAGAGGAAAAGGGGAAAGCGATATGTTCAACCAAGCCTTCTGATTCTGCCTCTAGACTGGCATAAGTCCACATGAGTTATGTTCTTTTAAATTAGAAATAACGCCATGAAGATAAGTGCCAAGTGCTCTTCTGTTACCAGTTCATCATGGAATTTCTGTTGAGGGTCATGAAAAACACTTGGCTACTTCCTCCAGATCGCACGGATGCAAAAAATACCTGTTTGAAATTAAAAAGAAGTTAGTTCAACTGCATGGTTTTTCCCCTCTTTTCTTCAACCGTCCATCCATTTTCTCTCACATGTCCTATCCTTGCCATGTGTCAGCTCTTAAGACTCAATGGCTGGTGTTTATAAAGTGCCTTTTGATATGGTGCATCCTCTGTAAAAAATGCTCCTGCCTTTATTATTATGGTTGTTACTATCACTTATTGGCGTACTGGCCTCTAGGAATGCTGAGGGGGCTGTATCTTGATCTTTAACGTCCCTTTAGGTGGCTACATTCTAAAAGGGAGTTTCGTGTTAAAATAATGGACTGTTTTTCTGGCCTAGGACACAACAGGTCTTTTGTTAACTTCTATAAAGGCACAAAGTCTCCTCTTCTCTCTCCCATAAATGACAAGAAAGTGGATTTCAGGGTTTTGCAAGAGAGTCTTTGCAAATTCCCAAAGTCAAGGGGGAATTTTGACTAGCATACAACTTCAGTTTTCACTTTTTAAAATTTAAAATTAAAAAAATTTAAGTGATCGTGGTCAGATAGGATAAGGTGTTTAATGCCTATCTATTTGGGCATTTCAAGAGTTAATGTGCAGCTTCTCTGCTGATGCCAGCATATCCTAGGCCAAATGAGATAATGGCATTAATAAGTAGAACCACAGTCCATTAGGTCCTGTTAAATCATTTTATCAAACAACTGAGAGAAGTGAGCAAAATTTGGGTTACCGCTTGCTTGAGCTGAATGTAAATGAACCACTGCCCCAGGAAAATAATATCTGGGGCTGTGGTCTAGCCCTTCAGTCAGCCAACACCTAGCTTTGGTCTGAGGCATTTGCTTTTGTCACTAGTATAAAGTCTCTGCTACTTCATTTCCACAACTTCATCAGAAGAATGCTCTCTCCCAACAACAACTTCTTCAGAAGTTCTATGGAAATGTTTGTCATTCAGCTAATGCTACATATGAAAGTAAAGCTACTCTTAGGGTCAATGAAAAGAAACAGGAAGGACAGAGTGGGCCCATGGAAAACCCCAATGAGGGAAAGAGAGGGTTGCTCTTCTCCCCAGGTCGTATGCCCTGGGCTCTAAACCTTTGGCCCCAGACGCTGGTGTGGTCTCAGCCTACTCCTGAGAGTGTGGGCATGACTTGGAATAGGCCTGCTGGGGTGGGTCTTTAATGAGCCAGAGTGTGGGTGTCCATGCCCAGATCACTCCTAGTCTTATGAACCCCAGAGACCCAGTGGGTGCTGGAGTTTTACTAGGTTAGGTCTGTTTTCTGGCATACTCTGTTACACCCCTGGAACCATCCTTGCTACCCATTCTGTTATCCACCCAGACCACACCAGGTCAGAGTAGTTGGCCAGGGTTCTAATATAATCCAGGCCCACGTCACCAGGGTTGGACTAAGACCGGCCTATCCTTTGGGGAACTGGGGTGGGAAAAAAGGTGTACAACACTTCAACCCATCACTCTCTTTTGTATAGGTGTTTATGTCTGTTGCTTTGGGGACAGCATTTCTATATTGGCCATAGTCACAAAGGATGAATTCACAAATGCAGTACAGCTTAGCCACTAAAACCTCTGGGTTACTCTACAGGGAGGGCAAGCTAGAAGCAGCACTGCTGCAGAATACCCCTCTGAGGTGACTGATCACGCCAGACGGACACAGCTGATTTCACTGGAAAACAGTTCCCCTATGACATTTCAGAAGAAACATGGCTGGAATGACACAGGACATGGCACTAGTTGAGTTTGTGATTGTGTATTCCTTAACGAATGGGTGATATTTTTAAAAAGTTTATACTTCTACATGTCAAATGCTTTACATTTAAACATGAATATAAGGTGATGGGTTAAGTCTTGAAAATGACTTTCTGAAAAGTCTAAAAGTGGAAGTATAAAGTCGACCCACTGTGAGATGATTAATGATGGGCCAACTGCTCTAAGTGCTTAGGAGAATTGGGGTATCTGCTGAGTCACCATGAGGCCTGCAGACCACAAAAATTACTAAGAGTTTACAAGGAATTTCTAGATGTTTCTATGTCTTTTTTGATATGTGAATAATATATTTTGAGTGTTCACATGAATCAAACCAAATAATGCCATTTCAAGATAATATTGATTGTTTAACACAAGATGTGATTCAAATCAGTATAAAGGAAAATGAAGGTTTCACAGGTACCTGGTGGTCTCTTAAAATGCAAACACTAATGCAAATGTTGAAACGGATTTACCTTATCATTTCTTTCACATAGAAACTTTAACCTTTGAGCTCGCTTATGCATAAATACTCCATCCAAATGTCCTGTTTCCACTGACCGGATCTCAATAGCTTTCTCGCCCCAGCCCATTATCTGATTGGAATGAATGTAGGCTGTCAAAAGGAATTTCCAAAACTGCATTAAAAACATTAGATGGGCAATAACTCACAGCATCTGATCACATCTTAACCACAAAAATGACAAACAACTTGAGATAAACAGACAAAGCAAGTCTTACAAGAGTTATTCACAGACTTTTTTTGTGGAATCAAATGGTTGTTTCACATTTCTTGACTTTCGTTTCATTTGGGGGGTGTAACTGCTGAAGAAGATAAGGAATGGTTAACCTACCCACAGACGTGGGCATTTCTCCCCATTGGAGCACCACATCCTTAGTTATCCGGCCATAGGTGTTTACATACACCCCCTCATCCTCATAGCAAACAAGCATTTCCATTCCATCTGTTTTAGGCAAGATGACAATAGCATGAGGAGTGATATTGCCCTGAATCTAGAAGACAAAGAAAGGCCAAGCATTATTCTTTTTAAAAATAAGACAACACCTTGACTATTCATCTCTAAGAACCGCAAAAAAAGAGGTATTTTTTTGTTGTGTGTTTCATTTTCACCATAAAGACTGAAACTTGCTTTCATTTGCTTTGTTTTATTTAGCCACTGACCTGGTAAATACAAACCTAGCCACTAGATTAAGAATCCAATTTGCCTGTCCCTAAAACAACACCCACATCTATGGAGCACCAACTATGTGTCAACCACTGGGCCCTTTATTCATACATAATTTCCATTCTTTAGAAGGCTCCCCATAGTGGATGTCTTTGTTTACAGGTGAGGAAACTACATCTCAGAAGGGTTATGTAACTTGACCAGAGCTATACCAGTATTTGGTGGTAGAACTGGGATTTGAGCACATGTCTTGCTGGCATTGAAAGTCATGTGTTTTCCATTAGAACAACCATTTCCAAAAAAGGTGACGATAATGTAAAGGTAGCTGAATCTAATGGAGATCGCCTAAATGGGGCCAAAATACACTCCTATCAAATAGTCTATGAGTCTATATAAAACACAGATTATTTATCTGAGTGTTTAAATACCAAAAAAAAAAAAAAATTCAAATTAATGGCTTCTTTAGAAAAAAATTTAGAATTACCACTCACTTAAAAAAAATCATGTTATCGAAGTAAGTGTAGATTAGCTTGTTGTAGAAAAAGCGATGTGGTGCTACTGTGATCTGGTTGAAAATGTCATGGCAGCTCAGTATGGGCTAGATGGGTAGGAAGAAGAGGACTGAGGGTGATGATAGTGATGTCCTAGTCACCTCACTGAGAACCCGAGCTGTGAGTCTTTGTGTGCACATGCATACACAAGAATTAAAAGCTGTAATGCAGCAATGAACAGCAATTGTGTGTGTGAGTGGGTGTATGTAATATACTAAAACAACTTTTTTCTTCTTTACAGCAAAGTATTCAAATTCTCAAAATACTAGTCAGCAACAGATTAGGCCTCAGATTTTCCTGATAAATAGTTTCTACTGTATGTTAGTTCTCGGGATTACACATGGGACACACAGACTACATCAATCCTAATAAGTGCATCCATGTGCAGTGCTTCCCTTTAAGAATCATGTTTTAGGCAATGTGTCGGAACAGTAATATGAGTATTATATTGTTAATAAGAACTATGATATGCAGGGCCCTGTGCCAAGTGCTTTAGATCCATTGCCTCATTTATTACTGATGATAACCCTTTGGGATAGGTCCTTTTATCCCCATTTTATAGATATGAAAGCTGAGGGTTGGAGAAGCTGCCTAATGTGCCCATTGTTGCAAAACTAATACATGCTAGAGCCAGGGTATGAGCTCCAGTGTGTCTGACTCCACTATTCCACATTGCCCACAAGCTGAAGAGAGGAACTAAAAAGAGCAGAAAAAGGATGTTTTCCAAGAAATAATCATCTGACCACTGGCTTTCTCCCACATAAAATGAAACCAATCTCTCTTCAAAAACTCATGTATGATACAAAATTTATGCCCTTGAAGGAAAAATATCATACTCATTTTAATCTAAAATCCAAAGAGACAACATGTAAATGTCAAATAAATTCTAGCATATGTTACTCAGTTTTAGGAAGTCATAAAAATTAGCTAAATCTGTATCTTTTAGTTATTAAAAGCATTCTATTTAATGAAGGCCTGAAGTCCATCTGCTTTAGTGATTAGTAAAAGTTAGCATGACTTCTACTAAAAATACGCAAAAACAAATCTCTTTCTACATGCAGGATGTTTATAGAGAGAGCCCTTGACAGTCTGCCTCTGGGAACTTACATGAGATGGTATGTAGATATCATAAGAGTTTCCTGAATCAACATCAATTACATGGAAACCAGTGTGTGAACCAAAAATAACCTTTAATCTTTGACCTTCTTCTACTGTGAGATCCACTAGCAGAGGCTTGTGCTGGAGATCTGCAAAAGACTTTAAAAATCACTCCATTAGTACCCACATCATCCAAAGAGGTGATCTTAATAATTTTTTCCTTTAGCCATTGTCTGGAGGAAGTTAATTTCTGACTTTATTAAATTGAAAATGTAGGAAATTTCTCTTTCAGTTTTAGGTCTGTTCATATTCTGGCTCTAGGAGCAGGGTCTGGCACCCATTTGTGCCCCTTTCTCTGCCCCTTGTCCTCCAAGGCAAAGAAATTGGTATGTAATTGTCAATTTTGATAGTGTCATTGTACATTAATAACTTGTTGGTGGGTACTGTGTTTATTTCTGGCCTTTGCCCTCTGGAGAAGGTCCAGCCTCTTTGGCCCTCTCTTTGCCATGTGGCAGCCAGGCCCAGGCATGGTGGCTACCCTTTCAGAGACAGTCTGGGATGGACAGCCAAGGATGGCTCTGTTCTAAGCCAGTTCAGGATTAATGGGCATGTTCTGGTTTTAATTTTCCTTCAGTGATCAAGTGGGCATCAGATTGGCACTTCCTCTAAACTTAATGTTGAGATCTGAGACTTGGGTTTGGCAATAGAGAAGGCGATAGTTTGGGTTTGGTGGCAAAACATCACAAGACTGATGGCTTGCATTGACTACTTGGGTTTAACTAGAAAGGATAAAAAGAGAGCTCTAGCCCAAGTTTGTCAAAGTTCTGTGTGTTGGAATGTAGGGCCCAAGTCTCAACTAACTGCCAAGTGTTTGTTCCTCTGCCATTTTTCTTTGCCGTTATTTAATCACATTCTACCTTTACTGGGCCTTGAAATCCTGGAGAGGATTTGTGAACCCACAATGGCCTTGGCTGTAATACCACTGCCTACCTATCAGACCCCTCTCTCTTCATCTTTTGCTCACACCATTCTCAGAGCCTGGGAAGCTCTAGCCTCGTCCTTGTCCAAGGGAAGGCTCAACCTCCTGCCAGTTCCTGACTTTGCTGTTCAAGGTTTTGCCTTTGCCCTTCCCTCTCTCCAGGCTGGGTCTGGTTTGCTAATAGAGCATTTCACACTCTCTCATGTGCTCTGGTTACTAAACTGATGGTGGTTAACTTCAGAACCAGAGTGGGAACGAGATCTTGATTGAAAAGCTTTTGCAGAGAGAGACTTTGGCAGAACAGCAGCACCACTTTAGCTTTTAGGAGTCATCCTTTAAGTGTTATTACTAACCTAATACATTCCAAAAATTTCTTTCCATAAAAGTGGGGCTATGGAGGGGAGTCCATTTCCACTGATGAATCTATCTCCCTGAGCACATCACAAATAAGCCATTTGCACTAAGAGAACAAGACAGAAGTGGGCTAATTCACCTTTAAAGAGGGCCTACATGTTTCCAGGACAGTTTCTGCCGTTGCATGGCATATGTGGCAGAAAAGAATAAAGAGCTAACGGAAGATAAGAGTCATAGAGGGGGCCAGTGAGCTCCAGAGAAGGAGACAGACAGAGGCAGAGAAAGAGAGAACAGAAGATAAATTCGTATCAGCTATCGGCTATGTGGCTCTGAACACATCAGGTGCCTGCAAGTTCCAGTCTTCCTGGTATTTGGGGGTCAGCTTTCATGAGCTGGGGCCAATGGGAATAGCATATCCCTATCCCACTACTGCTGAATTTCACAAGTGACCAATCCAATCATGGTGGGTATAGACTCAGATGAGGTAAAAAATGAAAAGGCAATCAAAATTGAAGAATGCAGAGAAACCTAGAAACTTGGTCATTTCCGTAAGTTAGCAGTGGGGATACATAAACATCAACTCAGTTTTAGGGACTTTATCCAGAGAGACTTATGAGGACTATAAGATTTGGAGACTCAGTTTAACCTTGAGATTCAGTACTGTTATTGGCATTGGGCTGCCTTCCTAGTTTAGGTGGCTTTACAACAAATATCATTGTATAATATCATTGTCAATGCTTTGTCTGGTAGCCATTTCCATACTAAATGTCTCTTGAAGATGACAATTCATAGATCTCAAATGGAGGAGGGCATACCCGAATTTTAATTTGACTAATTTTATAGTATTT